AAAAAAAAAAAAAAAAAAGAAAATGATACCATCTAACCATTCTTTAGTATTCACACTCCATTTTCTTTTATGTATTTAAAATTACTTCCCCAACCGGCATTAAACACCAAAAATCAAAGTTCTTTTTTTTTCTTTTTTAAATCACCATAATTATCCGCAAGTTCACGTAAAGCCAGTTTTGAAAGTTGAGGATGTACATTATCTCTTTTAGGTCTACTCCTCTTGTGTAGTAAATCATCATTAACAAATGAACTATCCTCCGGAAGATTTATTAACTCCAGAAGAGAAATATTTATATAATGTTTTCCTTTTTCTCTTTTTTCTCGTTGGGGTGTTTGACTCAATAATGGTAAAGAAGGAAGAGTCCATAGTTTCTTGTGGTTTGTATCCATCCGTCGGCGCCGTACACTGGAGAGTGTATAAAAGGGTGAAGATACATCCATAATGTATTGTTCACGCCGTGTAAACTCCATAACAGCCTGAACCAGTGATAAATGATGTTTAGATAAAAAACAAAACAAAACAAGATTAAATAACTCATATAAACAATCTCTTACCATAGATGCTAAAGTATTAGTATAAGGGACACCATGCATAGAAGGACGAGCTGTTATTCCATCTCTATCATATGGTTCTAATGACCAAAGGGCTACATGTAATTCTCCAGCAATAGCTTCTACTATATCTGCTTTAAACTTTGTAGATTTTCCCTGCATTTTATTAACACCCCCTACAAACGCATCTAAACCCAATACAGTAAACACATATTCCAAGTGTTGATTACTCTCCAGTGTTGTGCGAAGGGCATCCATTGCAAATGTATTGGATAATGTACGCCAGTTAACTTCTGGGAAAAGTAATATCCATCGATGACAGATGGAATGACCCCAGTTGTGATCACCAATACACTCCATACGTTGAAATCCAGCATCTCGTTGTACAGTATCATTTACTACAGAGAAAAGATCAGAGGAGGTTGCAACTCCCAACATACCAAGTTCTTTTAATATAGATAACTTCTTACGTAGATGTGAGGCTCTACGGTCTACCACACTACACCAGATCTTTTCCAACGGTATATTATGATATAAATCATCTAGGGAAGAAATCTCATCATCATCATTCTCTCCCTGCATATAATAATGATGATGATGATGATAATGATGTAGATATGAAGAGGATGAGGAAGAGGAACAAGAAAAACCACTTAATCGTCTTTCCCAACGTTTAGCCTCATCACTAAAAAAATCATGTGCTGCCTTTAATGAAACTCCTACAGCCCCACTTGTGTGTTTCTTCGCTCTTTCCACGAGAATCCACAAAATGGCTTCCACTGCCTGATGTTGAACTATTCCTCTGTGGGCCATTCCACGTGCGCCAACACCTCCACAGAGACGACAATGTGTGGAATTTGTTGAGGGAAAGAAAAACTCCTCCAATTGTGTGGATTTCATATGAATAGAGAGAGAAAGAGTACTCTTTACGGTCTCCAGGGGGGAAATAACACTATTTCCTTTTTTCCATCCAAAGGGAATAGGTTGACACTTCACACGTGTGGGGGGTATTATCATCTTTATTCCATACAGGGAATAAATAAATAAATAAATAAATAAATAAATAAATAATAAATAGTTTCCCCTCAGATAAAGAAGAAAATAACGACGGAAACACGATCTGTACACAATGACATTTAGTGAAAAAAAAAAAAAATAAATATATGTAGGTAAACAAACGTGAATCCGTTTGTAATTTAAAAAAGAAAAAAGCCTTAATTGTTTTTTTTTATTTTATTTTTGTTGCTAGAGTTCCTTGTTTTCTCGTCCTTCTGTGTTATTCCTCATAAATAAATTTACTTCTGCCTTTGTAACTCCTACCCTTTAGCAACACTACAAGAGAAAAGAAAATCAAAAATACGCAAATATTAAATAGAATATATACACATATATCTTCACATATAGATGCATACACGTCAATGAATAATAAAAATAATAAAATGTTTACTCATTCAACAAGGAACCGTACACACTATATCAATATTTATCAACTTTTAGTCAATAGAAATAATAATAATAAAAAAAAAAAAAAAAAAAAAAAAACGTTAGATCGATGGTTCACACTTTAAAGAAAAAGAAAAAGGGAGGGGTATTGAGACGATGATAATATAATGATACAGCGACGAAAATAGACCCAAACACGCATGTGTGCACACCACAAATTTAAAAAAAAAAGAAAGAGAGAGAGAGAGAGAGAGAAGGAAAA